AAGAAAACATCAAAAGGAGGCCGAAATCCTTCATCTTGGAGGTCCTTGGAAGCTCTTCAATGGATATTGGGTTTTATCTTCTTTCATCTATTTTTCCATGTTGAGCTAGACATTAAATCTAGGACTTGATGTAGTTTTATTTGAACTATGTTTTGAATATTTTGTTGATTGTTAATTTAATTTCGTTTTCAATTCATTTATGTTTCTCTATGCTTAATGCTTCTAATTTATTTGGCCAATGAGTTAGATGATTTTTAGATTGTGAAGTTGATGCTCGAGAGAGATTGGGTTCTTTATCTAGATTTGAGAAACATAGTCTAGGTTGTTGTGAGACCGAGAGGAGATCAACGATTATATAATCAAATTAGGATTTAGGTCGTTGTGAGGCCGAGAGGCAATCAATATTCCTATTTTCTAATTCTAAAAGGTGAAGCTTAATTTGTGTTTAAATATTCATTTCGAATAGGGATATTATTTTGGGTATTTAAATACAATTTCTTGTGAGGCACTCGAGAGAGGTTGCGAGATGATATTAGAGCCTTGATTAATGAATTGAATGGAATTGATTAGTGATTACATAATAGGATGAACATAGGAATTATAAAGTGAAATCAAGTCCCTAGACCATTTGTGTATAGATACTTTATTTTTATTTTTATATTGTATTTAGTTTTTATTCTGAATTATCATCTTATTAGGTTGTCTAGATAAAGTTAAGTTACAATAATCACAGTACTTAACGGCAATTCTAAACCCAATCTCTGTGGAGATGATACTCACTCACCCTATACTCAAAACTTGACACCGTATGCTTGCGGAAATTTATTATATACAAAAATATTAAGCATCACCTGGTGGATAGGTGCTTCTATGGTAGGCATTGGGTCCACTAGAACTTGCTCCCTGATTACTCCATGATAAGTTTGGATGTTGCCTCATCCCTTGGTTATGAGGATTTGAATAATGATGGTTACCCTTGTTGAAATTAGCAACATAGCATGCGGAGGCGGGGTTGGATGGGCAATCTTCATATAAGTGGCCCTCTCCACAGTAAACACATGAGAAACCAGTAGTTTGCACTGCATTTACCCCTACCGGTATGTTCAATGCTTTTACCATATTTGTCAAAGATGACATTTGAGCTGAGAGTGCAGTGATAGCATCAACTTCATGAATTCTAGTGGCCTTCCTTGCATTTAGTCTCTCGGTTGGCCATTGATAATTGTTGTTAGCCATCCTCTCCAGAATCTAATATGCTTCATTGTAAGATTTGGCCAAAATGGCTCCACCAGCTGCGGCATTGACTATGGTCCTTGTTTGCCCATTGAGACTATTATAGAAAGTCTCCATTTGAATCCAATGGGGGATCCCATGATGAGGGCACTTCCGTAAAAGCTCCTTGAACCTTTCCCATGCTTCATACAATGACTCCCCGTCTTCTTGTTGGAAAGAGGTAATGTCGTTCCTTAGCTTTGCATTCTTGGTTGGAGGGAAGTATTTCATGAGAAACTTCTCTGCCAAACCATCCCATGTCGCCACCGAATCTGGAGGCAAAGAATTCAGCCATGCCCGAGCTTTATCCCTCAAAGAATAAGGGAATAGCTTTAACCTTAATGCATCTTCTGTCACCCCCGGTAACTTGAAAGTATCACTCACCTCCATAAATTGTCTGAGATGGAGGTGAGGATCTTCGGTTGCTACACCACTAAATTGGCCTACAGTTTGGAGCATTTGGAACATCACTGGCTTAAGCTCAAAATGGCGCCTGAATCACTGGCCTCACTATGCCGGGGTTAAGTCCATGTAAAATGGGCACAGCATAGTCTCGAATGGCCCTGTTTCTATCATCTACCAGCACCGGTTGAGGAGCAGGGATGTTGGCATGTGCCTGCTGCCCATTGTTTCCTGCTGCCCCTTCTGCCATGTCTCCCACTCCCGCTAAGCCTTGTTGTTCCCTTCTCCAAGCTCAGAATGTTCTTTCGATTTTAGGATCTATAGGCAACAACTCTAAGTCTTGCGGTGGATTCATGCAAGCAACTTACTAACCTGAGAAATTAAGAACCAAATGAATGAGATTAAAAAGTAAACAAATGTAAAACAAATTGACTCCTACAAATACTTTTAATGATTTCAATCCTCGGCAACAGCACCAAAAACTTGTTGCGTGATATTTATGCTCGCAAGTGCACGTGTCACAAACAAGTAATAAAGAGTGAATAAGAGTGTCGATCCTATGAGGATTAAGTCACCGAAAGTATGAGTTGGAAGTTATATAATCAACAAAACAAGTAAAGAATGAATGTGGCAAAAATTCACTAAAATGATGTAAATAAAATGAATGCAAACTAAATGCAGTCTAAAGTGACTAACAGTAACAAGAACGTAATTATGGGTTGTAATTCAGTGGTGAAAATGAGCTAGGTCTACTAACTTCCCCCTAATTGCAAGTCTGATTAGAATGTTACCTAGAATGCTACAGCATTTTACTATCTCTGTTAACAGAAACTCCTTAATTGCATAAAGTTCTTCCGAATTAATTATGACTCGGGTTCCTCAAGCCATTTCTGACATATTCCTATGTGAATCCAACTCTAGGAATGCAGATTTAAGCTCAGGTTTCAATAAGTTATGCAAGGTGAATAATATATTCTTATACCATCCACTAATCAACAACTCAGTAAGTTTATTGAACATGCATCATTCATGCTAATCTGATTAAAACTAACCCTTCCAGTATTAATCTTAATCTTGTACCCTAAAATTGATGGCCAGTCAAGACTAGAAATAGACATTAACTCACATGAACAAACAGGAATAGTAAATTAATAGCATCTCAAAAACAACTTGTCATTCTCACAATCTTGGTTCCATTAGCAAACCTAGCTAAAGCAAATTAGTTCATAATAAGATTTACAAGATTCAAAGCCCTAGAATAATCCATAGCTAAATTAGTAGCTAAATAACAAAAGAAAGTTAAGCTAACAGAAGAAGAATGAATTTCAGCCGAAACTTGGATTCCTCTCTGGCCGGCCAAAATGTCCTTCAACTTCCAGCCCTCTTCTCACGTTTCTGATTCTTTTTTTGGGTTGAGTACTCTTTGTATTTCCTGCCTTCTTCAGCTCTCGTAAGAAGCTTTTTTCTCTCTGGGTAGTGCTCTGTGAGTTTTTCTGGAGAGGGATGCTCTGTGTATTCTCTCTGTGGAAAAATAGTCTCTGTCCTCCCTTTCCTATTTCAGCCACGTTTCTCTCTCCTCCTTATTTTCCCTGGCGGATGCCTCTTTATCCTAAGAAAATATTCCCTTCTAGGGCAACACAAGGGCTAAGGTGTCACTTAATGATGTGTGCAGGGGACCACAATGACACCTGCTCATCCAGCTCACACAAACTCCTTTTATCTATTTTCTCCAGTTAGTGCGCTGACGCCAGGCATATGCCAGCTGTTCCCAGAATGTTGCCAGAATGCCGCAGCATTTAGCCCAGAAATTTCCTACAAAGTACGCACACAGCCTTAGTCGATTTTTCACCACATTTTACTTCAAAATCATCAACTTTCACTTCAAGAGGAGCACCAGTAGGGAATTAAACCAAAGTGAGTGTAAACTATACAAATCTAAATTAAAACACACAATAAACTAGAAAAACACTCTTGGTCACACAATTTTTGAGCTAGAAACCCAGTGGATAACTCTAATTTCTTAGAGTTATCACACCCCCAAACTTAGAATGTTGCTTGTCCTCGAGCAAAATAAAAGTGACAACAAGACAGAAAGAATGAGCTCAAACAGAAAAAACTAATGCATACTTTGTGGATGAATTCTTAAGAGATATTTTCCTTACTAAATGGGTTAGAAGTGTAGCCTAAAGAAAAACATGATTTCCAGCCAAGTGCTGATCTCAAATTCAAGAGATTGCTTCGTCTCTGCTTTGACCTTTCTTGTGTGTGTGTGAACAACCAAGTGCTAAATCATCAATGTCAAACTAGTTGGGACCATGCACATGTGTTCTACATCAAGTTCTTCTTATTACAAGTTCAAACCCCATAAGCTTGCTTTTCTCAAGTCTCTCCACTAATTTAAATCAACACACCACCAAGGATCAATAGGACTTCATTAGGTTTGTAAAGCTAGGCTAGGGTGAAGGTAGGATGGAAGGTGATATTTTGGCCCAACTCACCTAAAGCACATAGCACTTTAGCACCTTGTAGACACACATAACATTCCCACGCAACTCCCCCAAACTCAAGTTTTATTTTCCCTTGTCCACCATATCTGTTTTTATTTCTAAATACCCTTTTATTGTACTCT